CACTTCGCCTTCTGTCTTGCTGATGGAGGAAGCGTTAGTTTTACAATAATTAAAAGAATTATCACTGTTTTGAACATGAGGCCATTTTTTTATATCGAGCTCTGTTTGCTTCATGTATTATATAGAAATGCTAATAAGATAAAAATACAATAAATTAAAATTGAAATTAATTACAAAAAGAGAGCTACCGTTTTTCCATTAGTAGATTAGTGAATAGTCTATCCAATAATAAATATTCTTACTACCATTTTTGTTTGTAAGTAGTGGAGTGGACAATAAATATTGTATTTAAATTATAATAATACATTTATAAGCCATATTCTATTTTTATGGTTATTAGCTGGATAATAAATATTCTTACTACCGTTTTTGTTTGAAAGTAGTGGGTATTCTATTTAAATTATAATATAATAGTACATTAATAAGCCATATTCTATGTCAATAAAAGTTAAACAAAATAATGTAACTCATAAAGTTTTGAAATGACCAATCAAAATTTAAAAAATTGCCACATGGGATGCTTAGGTGGCTTCACCAAATCTTTTTAAACTTTTTTATTAATATATATAGATATAGATTTAAAACATTGAATGTTGTCTCTACAAATATCGGCACGAATTTGTGTATTAATATTTGCGAAGGTATTTGAATTATACCATCACTTATTTATGTATCTTTTTTTTGCTGTAGTTCTATATTTTTTGGAAGCCGTCTACATCAATGAAATGCTAACTTGAATTGGATTTTTTTTTTTTTTAGCTTACATGTTATTTTCTTTAACAAAAACATAAGCAAAAACAAAAAAAAATCCAATTCAAGTTAGCAATGAATCCGTGACAATTCGGATCCACCATACAAAAAGGTTGTTAATTTGTTCATACACATATGAACTCGTTCCAAATCATATAAGATTATAAAGTATTCATAATATTTGCATAGTTGGATTTGTCGTGGCTATCTAGAATCGTCTGATTTTTTTTTCCTTTTTTCTTTTTTTTTATAATATTTTTTTTTTTGCAACAACGTTATAAGTATTAAAGGGGCTCAAATAATGCCAGAAAAAATGAATTTTTTATATATATAAAAAAAAATTGTCAAGCAAAAGCCCAATATAAGCGATGATGTCATGAAATAAGAAGAAAAGCCCAAATGGTCGCAGCAAAAATGCAAAACGAGCAAACTCATCTATATGGGCTCTAACTAGTTGCGTGTTAGACCATAACCATATAACGGGCCATAATTGTAGGCCCACTCTAATAGTAAACAAGGCCCATAACCTTATTTGGCCCACGTTATTTTTTTTTAAAAAAAAACAAAGAATAAAAACAGAGTTTTCTCATGAGATGGCATCATAATCAATGATCACCGAAAATAAAGAAACTTATCATGAGATGAAACAAAATACGTCATCATCATCGTCGTCATCATCATGGATAGCTTTTTTGGGCATTTGAAGACTGAATTCAAGGCTTTCAGCTTTGACCAATCAAAGATTCAAAGCTGTTGATAATCTCAGGCCAATCTTAAAAGTTTAACCTCAAGAACCCAAAATGGATTACAAGAATCGCATTCGCATGGATTTCCGCCAGAATCTATGCCCTTTTCAAAGCTCGTCTTCATCCCTCAGATACTCTCCAACATCCGCCTGGTGAAGCACAACGATACCATTCGGGTCCAGTCTCCGACAATCCTGAGTACTCTTCGCCGCAATCCTGAAACCTAGAGGGACATCGGACATCGAGAACACGACAACCCCATCTCCAGGAGCAATGCTCTCTGTAATCCTCCCCAGCCCGCCTGTTTGAGCCATACCTTGTGCTTCGCGTTCGCGGCAAGGAGACTCAGCGATTGGATCGTCAGGTGGAAATTCCCGCCATGGGTGTACTTCCCGGTGCATGTTCCGAGGGCTACGAGGTCTTTCCGGGCGACGTTAGTGGCGCGCTTCACGAGCGATTCGCTGACGTAGAATACCCTGTTCTTCTGGAGACGGAAGCTGTATCGACCCGGTTCCGGGTCGGGTCCTTCGTGGGACGGGTTATCGACGATGTTCTTGAGATTACCAAAACCACCCCTTAAATTAGAAAATATTACTAAAAATTCCTCATATTATGTCTTAATACAGAAGGATCCAAAATGTGAGGTCTTCTCGTTTCGAACTTCGAATTGAAGTGAACAACCAATCATTCAGTGAACCGCTTTAAACCGGAAATTAAAACCGAGCGCTTAATGTATTTACTATTTAGGCGGCCCATTTGTTCTTATTTGGGCCCATTCAAATAGTTAATTTAGGCCACTTACGACCCATTTGAAAATTAATAATATTACGACCATATATTATTTACAAAATCGAATAGAAAAATCATAAACTTTTCAAATTTAACAAATTAATACCTTAATTATATATATATATGTGTGTGTTTCTATATATATATTTGTGTTTTTTCACAATATGTTTTATTAGTTTGAGAAAGAGAAACGAAGTGTTATGCATTTGTATGGTTGGTTATATATGGTGATTGTTGATAGAACTTGATGTATTGGTTTTATTAATCGTATAAGTAAATATTATTATATACGAATGTTTGAGTATTCTATATGTAACTATCATACATACTGAATTCATAGGTATGGAGATTGCAAAACCAAGGGTTCCGCTAATTCAAAAGGAGGCTTTCCCTCAACAGCAATATCGGTCGGTCCATATACATATATATAAATTCAGTGTAACAAAAAATAATGTTTAAAGAACAAGTTGGCTGTTGTGAATATCGACTACAAGCTTGTTCCATGGACATCGACAAGACAGAGGAACCCCTTACACTCTTTTTGCATAACGAATGATTTTCAGCAGCAATTTCCATGTTTTTTTTTTTTGCATTTATTAGTTTCCACAACCTCTATCACTGAATTTCCTATAATTGACTAAACAATAATTTGGTTAATTACCTAACCCCATACACAACAAAAAGTGATGATTTCAAATTTTAAAACCCTTTTTGTCGCAAAGTTTAAATTTACATATTTTCTATTTGTTTTAGATTTTTTTTATTATATCAACACTTATATTCCTTTGAAAATTTAAAAAAATGATTAAAAAAACTATATTTCTACCTTGTAATCTATGTTTTTAGCTGAACTAAGTTACGTTTAGAGTATGTTTTTGAAGCTCTAAATCTGTGTTTGAAAAATAAATATGTTTGCTTCTATTTTAACTCTTTTTTATATATCCAGAAAATTATGCAATCTAATACGAACTTTCTCATTATTTTCTTAACTTTTCATTTTCTTAAAACACCAAAGTCGTTGGGTTCACTTATAGATATATTAAATTCTCTATACACAATGCACAATTCTGAATTTATAACAACTTCTAACCGTTATCATTAACTTGCTTCATAAATTTGACATTTTACATTACAAATGTCGAAAACGTTGCAAATTCGCCTATCTTTTTCTATATGAAGATACAACTTAATCGTAACATTATATATATATATATAAGTATATATATATACGCACACGTGTATATATATGGTGAGATCGATGAGAGGTGAGGGCATGAACGAAGAAAAAATGGAAGAGATGGACATTGTGATTGTGGGAGGGGGCGTTGCGGGACTTGCAACATCCCTCGCTCTTCACAGGTATGTATCACTTTGTATATTTTTATTCTTCTTCTCCTTGGACCGACTCTTGTGTAATATTAATTCCACACGAAATATATATTTAGATCCGAATTTGGACACACACACAAATACATCTCTGTCTCGTCCACACCAAACAATATCGCAATTATTAATACCAAAAAAAAATATATTGTAATTATTAAGCGTATTTAAGGTTTAATAAAAACTTAAAATTTTCTCTTGTGATTCTCTATAAATTAACATATGCATAAAATATAAGAAAACCATTCTTCTATATCAGCATAACTATATAAAACTAAATAAATTAGATTCAAATAATATAATTCGCTAGAATTATGTTTGATGGGATACATATATGTTGTTACAAAGGGCTCAGCTTAAAATTGTCTATTGTAATTATTTATAATTTAATATATGCATTACGAATAGAAAATCATTCTTCTGTATTATCATGAAGATACGGAACTATTCAACTAACACGATCCTAATGGGGTGTGAGGTTGCACAAGGCCCAACTTTCAAAAGGGACCCACCTTTAGAATGTTTTGGTTTTCATTTTTTTTTTTATATTTTTTAATAATTTATTTTACTTTTTATAATTTATTTTACTGCTGAAGGATTTTTTTTTTCAAATATAATCAAAGAATAATAATTTTTATCTTGATTAAGATTTGTTATCATTTTACTATATTAAATTTGCGGATAATTTAAAAAAAAATTTAAAAAACTATTTTTTATAAAGGTAATAAAATTTAAAAAAAAATATTTTAAAAAAACTATTTTTTAAATTATTAAAAACTAATATTAAGGATTTGTTTTCCGTAGTGTTTTGTAGTCGAATCTGCTTTAACCAAAACTCTCTCCGTATACAGACTTTTTTTTTAATACAATATATACATACATATATCCATTTGAAATTTATAAAAAAATATATAATATTTTCCTTTAGAATATATTTATTTATATCAAATTTTATTTTTATTTAATAAACTTAAATTTAGATATCTATAAAATTTGATATTTATTTTTTTTATGTAATTTAAATTTTATATAAATCTTTTGGAAAATCTTTCTTTGAATTCACTACAACTATATGTTTGAATTGGTATACATGTATATATGATTGTTATAATGTTTTTTTTTTGGTAACTAGATTGTTACAATGTTAAACATGGATTTTGTTATATTAATTATAATACGATGTAGGAAGGGTATAAAGAGCGTAGTGTTGGAGAGAGCCGAGGCGGTCCGGTCGGAGGGAGCCGCACTCGGCGTTAACCCTAACGGCTGGGGGGGCCCTCA